ACCCCGAGGAAGGTAAATCCCAGTGGGAGATAGAATCCGATCATGATCTGTTTTGGGCAAAATTGTCTACAGTTATCTAAAGACAGAAAGAGAAGTTCTACGGCTTTTAAAGACCCCAGCCAAGTTCTCCTGGTGTTACTCACTGATTTTTAACTTTCTAGCAGTCCGTGAGTTATTCTAACACAGGACCCTCAATCACCTTGCTAAAGGTTAGTGAGCGGCCAGCTCTACGGACTACTGGGAAGGTAGGTGAATGAAGAACAGAGGAAACAGGGAGAGGAGGAGTGTGAGGTCAAGAGAGATCAACAGAGAGCAAGTGACTTCTCGCTTGAACCAAGGAGACAGAGGTGGCAGTGAGCAGAGAGCACACCACCGCACTCCAGCCTGGGTGACAGGGCGAGACTCTAAAGAAAAGAACAAGCAATGTCTATTCCAGTGCAACTGACCCCTTGAGGCTTCCTCTCGCGTCTTTAAATGTCCAGACAGCTCTGTAACAGGAAGCTTTCACCGCCTGTTTTGAGGGCCGGACTGGAAGGCAATCGCTGCAAGGCTGAAGTGAGTCCCTCTCATCAGTGTTAAAAATACCAAGTATGTGCTCTAGGCAGTTTATTAGTTCCATTTAATAGTCCTGGTTCCTCAATCTATAAAATTCCCATCAGGGATGAAGTAAGGAATTACCAAGCAAACCAGAACAATCTGATTTTCCCTTAGAGGAAGGAACTTAAGGACTCTCCAGTCTATTAAACAGATCTTGTTGGAGCTTGAAAGGATTCCTGCATATCAAGAGAAGCAGGTAGGGGCCTGCCGGGCTGACTCACACCCGATATCATCTCCGGCAAGTGCTGGTCAGGTCCATTCCCTGTTATTACACTATGTGTAATTACTTCGGGTCTGCAGAGAGTCTGCTGGGCTGGTTGCTCTGCCAAGCCAATGAGGCTGTTGGATGGGATTCTGCCCCCTGCCTCTCCATCCAGTTTAAGGAAAGGAGCAAACTTTCCATCACCCTGTTTTGTTCCAGTAGCTTTTATCTGCACTCTTCCACCAGATGAGTATTATTCAGAACTGTGGAAAAATCTAAATCTCCCTAGATTTAGGCAAGGCAAGCGGCCCAGCAGCCAGTGGTAACAACTGCTACCAACTCAGACACGCTGGGCACGTGGCGGGGTACTGGCCCTGGCCCTGGGGCCAACTCTGCCACTCATCAGCTGTCCTAGGTCCCTCATCTGTAAAGCAAGGAGGCTGAGCAACGTGACTTCTAAGGTTCCCTTCGGCTTTAAGATGCCAAGTTGTCAAACTGGGCACCTGGGCCCCAGGCTCACTTCCTAAATTGTCAAGATTAGCAATGCCGAGTCATCCCCCTGCTCTGGTTCTGGATAGCAGCAAGCCTAGGAAATAAGGCACGACAGATGGGGCCCTGGTCTCTCAATGACAGGGTGTGCATGGGAGCTAGGAGGAAGGAGGAATCCAGCCCTCTAAAAGGAAGGTGCAGGTGGTGTGTGAAGGGTCAGACACAGGGGTGAGTCCCACTTAAGATACAAACTCTGCAACCTTAGAAACAGACTTCTGTCTCTCTGATGAGGAAACAAGATGTAAAACTAGTGGCTACTTTAACATCAATCATTAAGAGGGTTTCCATTTATTCTCTATAGCATAATGCAGAACTTAAACTTTTGAGAGACTTGTTAGATATCAAAGAAATCATTACATTCATGTGTGACTTAACAATGGGGATATGCTCTGAGAAATGTGTCCTTAGGTGATTTCATTTGTATGAACATCATAGTGTGCACTTACACAAACTTCGATGGTGTAGCCCACCACACACCAGGCTGTGGGAAAGCCTATTGCCCCTAGGCTACAAACCTGTGCAGCATGTTACTGACTTGAATACTATAGGCAACTGTAACACAATGGTAAGTATTTGTGTATCTAAACACAGAAAAGGCACAGTAAAAACAGTATTAGAATCTCTACCAGGCACAGTGGCTTATGCCTGTAATCCCAGCCCTTTGGGAGGCCGAGGTGGGTGGATCACTTGAGGTCCGGAGTTTGAGACCAATCTGGCCAACATGAAGAAACCCCATCCCCGCCAGAAATATAAAAATTAGGCAGGCATGGTGGTGCACGCATGTACCACCATGCCTGGCCTAGACTTTAGTTTTTGACACTGGGACACGATAACGTTTTTCTTCTGCATCATTCAAAAAGGAAGCTAAAATTAAGCCTTAGTAGAAGTAGATTTTAGTTCTTAAATTATAAAAATCACTAAAAAGGCAGATAATAATTATTCTAAAGAACATAGTTCCAGCCTGTTTTTGTTTCATTTTAATTAATTATTACTCTGTCTCTAAATTAGAGACAGTCTAATAATAAACCTTTAATTAATTTAGAGACAGTCTCTAATAAATAAATCTTAAATTAATTAATTTATTAGAGACTCTGTCTCTAAATTAATTAATTACCCAGGCAATTAATTAATTTATTTATTAATTTATTGATTTCCAGGTTGGAGTTTAGTGGTGTGATCTCGGCTCACTGCAATCTCCACTACCTGGGTTCAAGCAATTGTACTGCCTCAGCCTCCCGAGAAGCCGGGATTATAGGCGTCTGCCATCGTGCCCAACTAATTATTGTAGTTTTAGTAGAGACGGGATTTCACCATCATGGCCAGGCTGGTCTTGAACTCCTGACCTTGTCATGATCCACCTGCCTCGGCCTCCCAAAGTGCTGGGATTACAGGTGTGATCCATTGGGCCTGGCTTCCAGTTTGCTTTTAATGTCTGAACTATAGAATGGAGTGTGGGTTGTTTTCTTCTTTTAAACATTTCTCTCTGTGAATTTTCTTTGTTCTAACTGCCAAGTTCATTTCAAAGAATCTTTCTGAGTATCTAGCAGTTAAAACAAATCCTACAGATTACACAAAGAAATAGTTAACGGAAGCAGCCAGCTTATAGGACTACTTTTTATAGGACAAGAAGACAGTTTGTTTTAAAATAGAACTTTACAAATCTCAAAGAGGTCTTTCCCCTATTTTTTTAGTTGACAAATACAGTTTCACCTTTTAGCATAGTATTTACTCGATATCGCCAAAATTATAACACTGAAATTAGGAAAAATGCTCAACAGTGTGCTAACATTCTGCACCTCATCTTAAATGGTTTTAGAAAATCTCTAAAAGAAAACTACATTAAAAATGTAGCATTCTTTTATCTTTAAAGAGGTCTACATGTTACCAAAAAATTTGAGGAGCAAAACTTTGTTTAAAAATTAGGATTATAAGAAGGACAAATTTATATTTTCTGTTTACTAAGCTAGTTTGAATTCAGTAAGTACAGAAGCCCATTGTTAGATTGTTATCTCAAGGAAAGTGTTGACTCTCAGGAGGAAAAAGTGAAGTCTGATAGTCACAATTAATGGTTGAAGATTCCCCAAAACAAAGTTAAAGTAGCACCATTGACCATTTTCAGGAGAGTTGTGTGTTTTGATTTAAATTGCTTATTTTTCAACTATTGCGTAACTTCTCTTTATTATAGAGGTGATTTGACTACCCAAAAATGTTACCATTAAAGACTTTACTATAGACTGATACTTTTAAAGCAAGACTAAGCACAGCTTGTTAAAAATTAACTTGATGTTATATATAGAAGGAGCAGAACTGAACCAGCCTATCTCGAGGTAAGACGTCCCTTTGAGATATTTAATGCTCTAAATATACTTAAGCAGCTCTGCCAATGAGCTTTGATAGAGAGAACAGAGGTGACTTAGACAGTACGAGAAGTAACTGACCCGCCAGGCACGGCGGCTCATGCCTGTAATCCGGCACTTTGGGAGGCCGAGGTGGGTGGATCACCTGAGGTCATGAGTTTGAGACCAGCCTGACCAACATGGAGAAACCCTGTCTCTACTAAAAATAGAAAATTAGTTGAATGTGGTGGTGCATGCCTGTAATCCCAGCTACTTGGGAGGCTGAGGCAGGAGAATTGCTTGAACCCAGAAGGCGGAGGTTGTAGTGAGTCGAGATTGTACCTTTCTTTGCACTCCAGCCTGGGCAACAAGAGCAAAAACTCAGCCTCAAAAAACAAAAAAAGAAGAAGTAATTGACCAAGGAAGTCCCCAAAAGGATGTACATCAAAAGGTGGAACAGTAGAATGACAGGCAATTCTCGATTTTTTGTTTGTACTTTTTTTGCACAGTCTGAACTTTAAAATAAAGAACATTCTGTCCAGGCACAGTGCCTCATGCCTGTAATTACCAGCACTTTGGGAGGCCTACGTGAGGCCAAGAGTTCGAGGCTAGCCTGGCCAACAGGTAAAAACCCCATCTCTTCTAAAAATACCAGAAAAAAAAAATTAGCCGGGCATGGTGGTGCACACCTGCAGTCTCAGCTACTCAGGAGGCTGAAGCACGAGAATCTCTTGAACCCGGGAGGCAGAGGTTACAGTGAGCTGAGATCATACTACTCCACTCCAGCCTGGACAACAGGGTGTGAGACTCTGTGCCAAAAAAAAAAAAAAAATTAAAAATAAAGAAAGAACATTCTTTTATTTCCTTTTTGGAGAAAGACAATAGAAATAATATGTTAAAGTTTGACATCAGATATCTAAAAAAATTAAAGTTGTATAACGCATTACCAAAGTGTTATGTTAGATTATCTAGTTATGTTAGTTATGTTGTGTCTTAAAGAATTTGCACATCGACAAAGTACCAACTGCATTAGAAAGAAAGCAACTCTCCTTTACAACTCACCAGCGTTGATTTTCTGTTATTGGCATGTACATAAATATTTCAAAGAATGAACGAAATCGACGATATTTATTAGAAGTAAAAAAGGTCTAAAGATATGCTACCTTGCTGGGGTGCTTAGAGACCATTTGCAAGCCCTGTTTAAGACCTAGAAATCCTGTTCTTTATTCTTTATTTGTAAAGTTTTATAATTCTCAAAAAATTTTAGGTGGGTTATCATGTACCTAAAGGTAAAATATAGCTGAAATTATTCTTACCTGATTTTGCATATCTGAATTTGGTGGGCAGTTCAAAGTAATTGCATCACATTCTTCAGCTGGAAAAAAAAAAAAAAGAACCAAAGTATGATTTTAAAAAGCACACACTCTGTGGCATAAGACCTAAATTTTCTTTTTTTTTTTTTTTTTGAGACAGAGTCTCGCTTTGTCACCCAGTCTGGAGTGCAGTGGCACAATCTTGGCTCACTGCAACTTACACCTCCCGAGTTCAAGCGATTCTCCTGCCTCAGCCTCCAGAGTAGCTGGAATTACAGGCGCCTGCCACCATGCCCAGCTAATTTTGTATTTTTAGTAGAGACGGGGTTTCTCCATGTTGGTCAGGCTGGTCTCAAACGCCCGACCTCAGGTGATCTGCCCACCTCAGCCTCCCAAAGTGCTGGGATTACAGGCGTGAGCCACCGCATCCGGCCAAGAACTTGAATTTAACAGCAACTTTTCTCGGGTGGTTTTCCAAATGCTGCCATGGTCATACTGCCTTCCCCCCCGCCACTGTCCTCTCACACACAAAAGATTAAAAAATCTTTTAGAGAATTGTTACCATTGTATTCTTGTCATAACTGGAAGGGGAGGGCACGATGATTGTTGGTTTACTGTAACAGAAGATTCCCAAGCAGGTCTCTGTCAAGGCTTGGGGGCAGGGGCGGGGAGTGTATTTATGAAATAAGCAGGATGAGAACACACAACACATAATGCAGGTGGGAGGATGGTGAGTTTCCCATGAGAACAGGGACAGCTATTAACATGACGTCACTATCAACCCGTGAGGTAGGAAATCATATCAGTTATCACACATTGGCTTGCTAGTTTTAGGGCAGACATTTCTACTTTTGAATTATTTAGTGATTTTCTAGTACTTGTTTATTTCTCATCACATGTTCAAACTGAACTACTTCTTAATTTAATTAACACATTGTTCTAAAAGACCCCTTCCCCCCACCAAACGGCATCTATGTTTAAGTTCAAGTTCCTCAAATTTCTTAAGGTAGCATCAGCCTACCTTACTTCAGCCAGGTGCAGTGGCTCATGCCTATAATCCTAGCACTTTGGGAGACCAAGGTGGGCAGATCGCTTGAGGTCAGGAGTTCAAGACCAGCCTGGTGCAACATGGTGAAATGCTGTTTCTACTAAAATTATAAAAATTATCTAGGTGTGGTGGTGCACGCCTGGAGTCCCAGCTACTCAGGAGGCTGAGGTGGGAGAATCACTTGAGCCTGGGAGGCAGAGGTTACAGTGAGCCAAGATCACGCCACTGCACTCCAGCCTGAGCGACAGAGCAAGGCTCAGAAAAAAAAAAAAAGGAAAAATAAAGTCTAACTTGCTTCTCTTTAACTTCTAAATTCACTGTAACATTTTTTGAATGATCAAAGAAAAGAGCAAGGACACTAGAGAAAATGAAGATGATAAAATCTTCTTAGATTTGTCTATGTATCTACGTGTAATTTTCTCCCAGGATGAATAGTGGCTCAAAAATCAAAATAATTCCTTTTCCAAACACATTTTTCTCTCAAAAATGTGAACAGTCACATTCCCTTCGGAACAATCAAGCCAGCAGCTTCTATAAGATACCGGGAGTCATGTGATGGAAAATAACCCCCCATCTCTCCAGTTCTTAGTACCTGCAGACTCACAGAAGTGCTCTCAGAAAAGAGCTCCAACAAAACGAACCCCCAAAATCTCTAAAATCGGGGGGGGTGCTGCTTGAGGAGGAAGCTCTGCATTGATGCCCCATGAGAAAACAGGTATAATATTAACACATTTCACCTCAAAAACAGATGCTGATCACTGAAATTACACTAGATTTCCACAGCTGATAATTAAAACCGCATTATTCAGAACCACTACATTCCGGCCAATGTTAGAGGATAGTTTTATACTCTCTGTGAATAAAGTAGGAATATACTAACAGTATGAAAGAGACTTTGTGAAACCATTAATGCTTATTACAAACGACCATTCTAGTAAATAAAGCTGGCCTCCTTAAAACTCACTTAAATGTTGGAGTCCTAGTCTTTTCTTTACAGAATTAAATTACAATTGCTTTTAAGTCTATAAACCAGTCTCTTCGTTAATTCACATGGATTTTCTTTCCCTAAAAACAACTTGTTTTATTTATTTATTTATTTATTTTTGAGATAGGGTCTCATTCTGTCACCCAGGCTGGGGTGTGGCTCAGGAGGTTCACGCCTCACTGCAGCCTCAACCTCCCAGGGTCAGGTGATCTTCCCACCCCAGCTTCCCTGGTAGCTGGGATTACAGGAACATGCCACATGCCCGACTAATTTTTTTTTTTTTTTTGAGATGGAGTCTCACTCTGTCGCCCAGGCTGGGGTGCAGTGGTACGATCTTGGCTCACTGCAACCTCCGCCTCCCAGGTTCAAGCAATTCTCCTGCCTCAGCCTCCTGAATAGCTGGGATTACTGGCATGCATCACCAGACCCGGCTGATTTTTGTATTTTTAGTAGAAACGGTGTTTCACCATGTTGATCAGGCTGATCTCAAACTCCTGACCTTCTGATCTGCCCGCCTCGGCCTCCCAAAGTGCTGGGATTATAGGCATGAGTCACCATGCCTGGCCGCCAGGCTAATTTTTAATATTTTTTTGGTACAGATGGGGTTTTGCCATGTGGCCCAGGCTGGTCTTGAACTCCTGGAGTCAAGTGATCTACCCACCTTGGCCTCGCAAAGTGCTGGAATTACAGGCATGACGAGCCATGGCACGCAGCCATAAACAACTTTAATGAGAAAATTACCACAATAGCTAATGATAGTATTGGCCCCACCAGTAAGACCAAAGAAAAATGCTAGCAGACATGTTGAGTGCAAATGCAGGAGTAAGTTTTTAAACTTCTAGACATGATTCATTTACATATAAAATGAAGCATTTATTTGGAGATAAGAAATTAAGCACTTAATAACAATGTTCACTCCAATCTGTTCCTTGATCTAAGAAAAAAATTACTATTTGAATAAGGATAAAGGAAAGACTTGGGTATGGTTTTCACTTTCACGTTACTTATAAATTCATTAAGGTTTTGTAGAACCCAAATTCTAGGAGAAACCTGATGATACTATTACTGTAGTATCAGGTTGCTAAGCTACAATCTTTTTCTTTCAAAACAGGAAATCACACTAAGAGTGATGAAAAAGATCTTGAGCCCGATCACACCACTACATTGCAATGCTAGGGCCACTACAGCTCCGTCTTTTCAAGATGGTTTCACTCTGCCATGCTGTCTGAAAGCAGCTGACAGTCCTGAATCTTGATTTTTCTCACTTCTTTCGCCGGATTTCCCTGCACCCATGTCTGGTGCTCACAAGTGCCAGGCACCGTTCTCAATTATTTCACTGAATTCTCACCAGCACCCTGGGAGGTGGATGGTAACCTTGTCCTCCCTGCTGTGCTGATGAGGAAACAGAGACCCTGAGACCTGAAACCACTTGCTGAGGCCACTCACAGCCTTTTTGGACAGAAAAGGAAGGACATTCTAATGGTGTCATTTCAGGGAGCAGATAGAAGGGTCAGGGATAGCAGGGAGAGAAGAGGAAAAGAGCTTTGGTCAAACTCTGGACAGGTTGGCCCTGGGGATCTCCGGACAATTATCCACTACCATGAGAACTGCTGGGGAGACCCACGTTAGCACGTGCTGGGCATGCCTGCCCCTCCATGGTGACCAGGATGCCAGGTGCCCCTGACATTCTTTGAAACTAGTTGGATCTGATTGTCCCCAACCCCACGCCATCCCACCCCTCATCTCTGAGTTGTCAGCAGACTACAAGGTAGAGGAATGACTGTGACAATCAGCAGCTTGGCCTCCATAAAGGAACACAGGGGTTGGGCATGGTGGCTCATGCCTGTAATCCCAGCACTTTGGGAGGCCAAGGCAGGCAGATCACCTGAGGTCAGGAGTTCAAGACCAGCCTGACCAACATGGTGAAACCCTGCCTCTACTAAAAATACAAAATTAGCTGGGTGTGGTGACGGGTGCGGGGGTGGGCACCTGTAATCCCAGCTACTTGGGAAGCTGAGGTAGGAGAATCACTTGAACCTGGGAGGCGAAGACTGCAGCGAGCCGAGATCACGTCATTGCACTCCAGCCTGAGCAACAAGAGCAAAACTACTCTGTCTCAAAAAAAAAAAAAAAGGAACAGAACCCTGCTGACCTGCTGACCACCCAGCAAGCCAGCAGGAGAGATTAATTATGAAAAGCTAGGGTCTAGCCACCCCATGGTCTCCATCATGCCTAAGTGTATGAGTTATCAAAGACAGCTTTTTTAATTTGTTTTTGGGCCTAACAAGCATCTTTTACCCCTTTGTCTAGCCACAGAACATTCTTTCCTAGACACAGTGGTTTGGGGAAAATCCACTCCATGACCGTCCTCCCCAGCCCGAGCTCAAGGCTCAGACCTGGCCAATGTCCTCCATCCTCCTGATGACAAAAGTCAATTTAAGGATGGCCACGTGACCTAAACTGCCCCAATCACAGTCATCTCTGAAACTGTGCTATGCGTGCTGGTGGAAAGGTTCCCTCTTCCTCCACCACCTTGAGAACACCATATAAAGCAGGAGGTGCTAGTAATCGTCCTTCCCTCCATGCAGGAAAATCCTGCTCAAGGCTGGAGCCAACATGGAAGACGACAGAGCCATGAAGTGGAGAGACTCAACCTGACAGCCTCATTTAGATGCTTGGATCCAGCAGGGCCCAAAGACCCCAAAGTCAGTGAGTTCCCACTTTTTTTTTTTTTTTTTTTAAGAGATGGGGTTTCTCCATGTTGGTCAGGCTGGTCTTGAACTCCTGACCTCAGGTGATCCACCCACCTCGGCCTCCCAAAGTGCTGGGATTACAGGCATGAGCCACAGCACCCGGTCTCCCACTTTTTTTTTCTTTTTCTTTTCTTTTTTTTTTTTTTTTGAGACAGAGTTTAGCTATTGTTGCCCAGGCTGGAGTGCAATGGTGTGATCTCGGCTACCTGCAACCTCTGCTTCCCGGGTTCAAGTGATTCTCCTGCCTCAGCCTCCTAAGTAGCTGGGATTATAGAAGCCCGTCACCACGCCCGGCTAATTTTTTTGTATTTTTAGAAAAGACAGGGTTTCACCATGTTGGTCAGGCTCGTCTCAAACTTCTGGCTTCAAGTGATCCACCCACCTTGGCCTCCCAAAGTGCTGGAATTACAGGCGCGAGCCACTGTGCCCAGCCAGTTCCGGCTTTTTAAACAAATTAGGGTTAGATTTCTCACCCCTGCAACCCAGAGTCCTGGCTGTCTTCATTTTATGCCTGTCAAAAACACCACAGGAATTTAACGCATAATTTGCCATGGAATAATTTACAGTTTTTAATCAGAAAATTCATTTCCATTGCAAGGTTAAAAGATATGATTTTTAAAAAGAAAAAAATTAATTTCTGAGACAATCATGTCACAAGTCACGAGTTAATCTACGGGTATGTTTCTGCTTTACAATTTTAAATAATGAAAAATTACGTTGAGTAGTGCTTTGTTCACAATGTTAAAATAATCACAAGTTCGAGTCGTTATTTTAACTGTACATACCTTTGGGGAGTTCCGAATCTTGAATGGGATATTTGTCTGACTGTAGAAACCAACAAACGAAGAGAGTTATTTTTAAATGCTATAGTCAATTGTAAGATCAAAGTGAAAAGAGAGCTTTGTCTTGGGAAAGTTACGACTTCAATTAAAAACTTGAAACTGTTTAGCCTCAAACTTATCAACTGGCCTCATCCATTGGTTGTGTTTCTTGTGTTTCTTCTCAATCGACAGGAATGAAATCAAGGTTGACAAGAGGTGAATGCTGGATCATGAAACAGAACAAGCCTTCCGAATTTCCTCGGCTCGGACCACAGAACCACACTTCCTCTCTTTTCTGCAGTGCTAGCCTCCTGCAGTTTACAGCTGAAAAGCATTTGTTGTCACGACTGATGAGGACAGACGCGTTTCTTCTCATTGTTTCTGCAACAGTCATTGGCCAATCATGTTCTGAGCAGTACTCACTGTGGCAGAGCTATGGCCTGGGTTGACTGAAACAGGATGATCAAAGGATCACTTTCCTACTGACTGCACAAAGGTCTAAACATCAGTGATGATACAAAATTCAGCACAGTTCTCAATGCATCCGTTGGGAGTAATAGTGTTAAAGGAATTCAAAATAGCAAATGTTCTCACAATCACATATATTTCTTTTAATTTATTTATACTTACATGCAGATGTCTAAAGTTCTGGAAACTTATTTCAGACTAAATAACGTAGCCATTTCTGAAAATGTCCATGAGAGGGATGAGAATTACCCTAATTTCCCAACCCTGTCCCCTAACCCCTGCTCAGCTCCCAACTCCACTCAGCCCCTGTCCTCGAGCCTGAACAAAATTACACCTCGACAATTTCCTGTAGGTCTCACCATCTCTTCCACTGAGAGAGGAGAAAAAGAAACAAATGGAGAAGCAAGGATTTTGTTTTAAACGCCTTTCCTTGGAGTTTCTTTGGAGCTGGGCAGTAAAATTTCAGAACTTCTAGAAGCCTCCAACTTCTCCCAGCAAAAATAAATTAGTAAATAAAAATCAATCACAGAGAATAGTCCTACAGCTCTACCCCAGATCAAATTAGTTCTTCTCATCATTTTGCTCCCAAGAGCATGGAACACATGCCTGTACTAGAACACTTACCACTCTGTTTTAAAAAAGGCCAGGCGCGGTGGTTCATGCCTGTAATCCCGGCACTTTGGGAGGCTGAGGCAGGTGGATTACCCGAGATCAGACCAGCCTGGCCAACATGGTGAAACCCGATCACTACTAAAAATACAAAAGTTAGCCAGGCGTGTTGGCTGGCTCCTATAATCTCAGCTGCACGGGAGGCTGAGACAGGAGAATTGCTTGAACCCAGAAGGCGGAGGTGGCAGTGAGCCAAGACAGCACCATTGCCCTCTAGCCTGGGTGACAAGAGTGAAACTCCATCTCAAAAAAGAAGCGGAAGAAGAAGAGGAGGAGAAGGAGGAGGAGGAGGAGGAGGAGATGAAACATCGACACCCTGGGAGAAAGAAGATGGCCATGTGCCAATGAAGTGAGAGAATGGAGTGATGCTTCCGGAAGCGGAGGAGCTTCCAGGATGGCTGGCAACGACCACAAGCTAGAAGAGACAAGAAAAGATTCTTCCCTGTGGGTCTCAGAGGGAGCATGGCCCTGGGGACGCCTTGCTTTCAAGCCTCTAGCCTCCAGAACCATGAGCAAATACATTTCTGTTGTTTAAGCCGCCCAGTCTGTGGTATTTTGTTGCAACAGCCCTGAGAAATTAGTAACAGGGAAACTTTGGAAAGATCACTTTGTCTGTGGCATGGAGAAGTAATTACAGGTAGCCGAGTCCCAGGGTGAGTGTAAGGAGATGGCTTCAAGGGAGGGAAAGAAAACCTAGTGTTAGGAAGTGAGCAGGCACCAGGGAGACCTGGATAGTCACAGGTCGGGGCAGTGGGAAGGAAAGGAAGGTGAACTGAATTACACTTTATAGAAACCAAAGGCTTTAGTAACAAACTCCTCCAAAGAGGCACAAGCCATGGCCACAGGATTGTTCCTCATTCCATTTTTATGAGAGTGAAGAGACTGAGAATTTTTCGTAGGAATTTCCAGTGGGTATCAAAGCATGATCCCCTATGCTGTCCACCATTTACCAACCCAGGGGTAATTAAATGACAGGAACACAAACACTTCAGGTCCTCAAGACACTTGAGATTTCAAGACATTTAGTTGAATTATATTAAGGGTATTTTATGTTGCTGTAACTAAATTAGTTAACCAAAACTTTTCACGAATTGGTAGATCCCATCCTCCGAGCATCTGGAACAGAAGGAATGTGCCTGATACGATATGCCCATCACACATGCTGTGCTGTCAGAGGGCACTAGTTGAGCCCTGACCAAGAGGCAGTGCTGGGCAGGAGCATGGGGCTCCGGTCTAGGTGGCTGCACACATCCATTAAACGTCCTTTTGGCATCTGTAGGATGGGGATATCTGCCCCACGATCTCAAAGGATGGTTGGGAGGATCTTGGGAGGTTGAAAAATAATGATGGCAGCCATAAAAAAGAATAAAATTCTGTCTGGGCGCGGTGGCTCACACCTGTAATCCCAGCACTTTGGAAGGCCAAGGCGGCCTCACCTGAGGTCAGGACTTTGAGACCATCCTGGCCAACATGGTGAAACCCTGTCTCTATTAAAAATACAAAAAATTAGCCGGGCATGGTGGTGTGCACCTGTAATCCCAACTACTCAGGAGGCTGAGGCAGGAGAATCACTTGAACCCAGGAGGTGGAGGTTGCAGTGAGCCAAGATCACGCCAGTGCACTCCAGCTTGGGCAACAAGAGCGAAACTCTATCTCAAAAAAAGAAAAGAATAAAATTCTGTCCTTTGCAGCAACATGGATGCAACTGGAGTCCATCATCCTAAGTGAAATAACTCAGAAGCAGAAAATCAAATACTGCATGTTCTCACTTATAAGTGGGAGCTAAAGAATGGGTACACATGGACATAAAGATGGAAATAACAGATACTGGGGACTCCAAAAGGGGGGAGGGTGGGAGGGGCTCGGAGTTGAACAATTGCCTATTAAGTACAATGTTCACTATTTGGGTGATTGCTTTACTGAGAAGCCCAAACCTAACCATTATGCTGTGTATCCACATAACAAACCTGCATATGTACCCATGGAGGCTGAAATTAAAATAATAATAATAAACCATAAAATTAATTTTAAAAAACAATATATGTGAAATCTTTGGATGATCCTGAAGCAGTCGCCTCAGAATGGTTACGGGAGGGTAGGGAGGTGATGAGGCTCAGGAGCCTGCTGTTAGAATTAAATGACGTAACAGAGGTAAATCCAATAGTGCGTGTCCCTCTAGCATCCAGGCTGACGTAACAGAGGTAAATCCAATAGTGCGTGTCCCTCTAGCATCCAGGCTGCTCCATTACCAGAACAACAGTATTAAAAACAGGCAAGTAGACCAGGCACAGTGGCTCAAGTCTGTAATCCCAGCACTTCAGGAGGCAGATGGGGGCAGATCACCTGCGGTCAGGAGTTCGAGACCAGCCTGGACAACATAGTGAAACCCCGTCTCTACAAAAAAAAAAAAAAAAAAAAAAAAAAAAAATACAAAAATTAGCCAGGCATGGTAGTGCATTCCTGTAGTCCCAGCTACTCAGGAGGCTGGGGCAGGAGAACTGCTTGAACCTGGAGGCAGAAATTGCCGTGAGTGGAGATCGCACCACTGCACTGCAGCCTGGGCGACAGAGCAAGACTCCGTCTAAAATAAAATTAAATTAAAATTAAAAAACAAGCAAGTAGACAAAGTCCTCACATAATTTAAGATCACCTCCAGCATGTGCAAAAGAAGAACAGAATCTAACACTATTTTTAGCCTGGAGAAACCCAAAGCTTATCATTATCACATAGAATATCAAGATAAAGCAGTTTATCTTAGAAAAATCTCACTTTGGGGTTTCTGATGGACGTGTAAAACTGAGTAATAAAAATGTAAAGAAATAACAAAGAAAAAAAGCAAAACAATAATTATTACCATTAGCGTAAAATTTGTAACCTACCATGTTAAAGGATAAAGTGCTGGGATCTGTGTCTTCCACTGGTTCCTTTGCCATATGATCTGTAAAACAAAACAAAACAAAACAAAATACAGAGCGTGGGTTTGCTTTAATTTAAAACCACAAATGAGTCCTTTGATAACTGTCTCTATACAGAGGCAAGTAATTTTACTCAGGCTGAAGCAAACTTTACTCTTTTTTTTTCTTTAAGAAATAGGGTCGGGCGGGCACGGTGGCTCACACCTATAATCTCAGCACTTTGGAGGCCAAGGCAGGCGGATCACCTGAGGTTAGGAGTTCAAGACCAGCCTAGCCAACACGGTGAAACCCCGTCTCCACTAAAAATAAAAAATAAATATAAGAATTAGCCAGGCGTGGTGGCGGGCGCCTGTAATCCCAGCTACTCAGGAGGCTAAGGCAGGAGAATCACTTGAACCCAGGAGCAAAGGTTACAGTGAGCCAACACAGTGCCACTGCACTCCACCTGGGAGATAGACTGGTATTCCGTCTAAAAAAAAGAAAAAAGAAGTAGGGTCTTCCTCTGTAGCCCGGGCTGGAGTACAGTGGCACAATCATAGCTCACTACAGCCTTAAGCTCCTGGCTTCAAGCAATCCTCCCACCTCGGCCTCCCAAAGTACTGGGATTGCAGGCATGAGCCACCACGTCTGGCTTGAAAACCTTACTTCCAATTATTAGTTGAGACAAAATAAAGAGGAGCAGATTCAGACTGCATCAAGAAAGAGATTAATAAAAAGAAACCATAGGCTGGACACGGTGGCTTACACCTGTAATCCCAGCACTTTGGGAGGCCAAAGCAGGGGATCACCTGAGGTCAGGAGTCTGAGACCAGACTGGTCCAACATGGTGAAACCCCATCTCTACTAAAAATACAAAAGCTAGCCAGGTGTGGTGGTGGGCACCTGTACTCCCAGCTACTGAGGCAGGAGAATTGCTTGAACCTGGGAGGAGAAGGTTGCAGCGCGTTGAGATTGCACCACTGCACTGTAGCCTGGGTAGCAGAGTAAGACTCCATCTCAAAAAAAAAAAAAAAAAAAAATTAAAAATATAAAAAGAAACCATATTTTTAAAAAACCCACCATATTTTGGAACAGATTTCTTATCAATCTCTTCAAATACCCAGAGTTACAAATAACTACAAACTACGCAGGCTTGATATTAACAACTCTGCTGCATACTGAATTCCATCCTCTCTTCAGCAGGAATGATTCCATTCTGAATCTACTCTTTCCTGATTTCCTACTCTGCTGCAACCCACTTTTATTAATCTTCGCAATGTTGTTTATGTGGACTAGTAAAGTAAAAAATCTTACAGTGTTTTTTATCAAAAAAGGTAATCTTAATAAAAAACAAAAACAAAATAAAAAAGGAATCTTGATTTCTCAATATTTTGTTTCGGATACTTTACCATTTGTTGCATTTAAGGAATTTAAGGGGGAAATACAGAAAAATATACAGACCTCTGTCAGGACCTAATTAGTACAAATTAGAAAAGTTTCCCATCTCCAAAATGCTTCTAAGACATCTGCCAGAGAGCTGTCTCAACAAATAACCAACTTTATTTGCATGGGATCCTCTAGGCTGTGCAGTGCACACCCTGAAGTACCCTAAGTGGCAGCCCAGGGCCCGCCAGGAGTCGGCATTCACTTTTTATCCAAATCCTCATTAAGGACACATTGCAGACTAGGAACTAGGTCCTAGGAATGAATGCCTTTGGGGGTTCAAATAAGCACAGCAGGACAATCTGTTGAGATAATTTTTGTTTGTTCTTTCTAGGTGTTTCCCTGCTGAGAACGTGTCTGGAATTTCCATAATTTCTTTGCACCGCATGTGTTGATAATGTATGCCAAAGAAGCTTCCAGAAGGCAACATCTGTTTTATGACAGCCTCCAGTCACTGAAGAGAAGTGGGGATGAATGGAGAGAGCCTTTGTCACTGCCTCGCATGGAGCTGGGCACAGACATCTGCAGAGCACGAAGGTGACAATACCGCATCAGAGACAGCACAGAGCAGCCTAACCGCCGGGGACCGCGGCCCAGCCCCAGCAAAGAGAACTGTGCCCTGGGTCCAGCACAGAAACAGAGGGTCTCAAGGGACTTCTCAGGCCTGGACCAGGAGACAGCAGTGATCCCTGATGCACTAAAAATGTGATGTCCCTTCCTAGTTTTCTCAGCACCACACGAAGCCCTCAGATTCCTGTGTGGCCCTGAAAGACAGAGCCCCAGTTCTGACAGAAATGGGATTTCCTGCCAGTCCAGTGGAATACACACTCAGATTTAAATTTAAATGGATAGAAAGAAAATGAAAAACATACTGTGTTGCTAACGCCTCCCTGAGTTGGCAGAACTCTTACTGCCCAAGCAATGAGTAATGCTACACAGCCCCTTAGCGCGAAGGCAGTGGCAGTGCAGGACAACCAGTGGACACACAGAATAAGCACAGAACGCAGTCTGGGGAGCTCCGGGGGAGAGGAGGAGGGACGGGAGAAGGGCCGCAGAGGGACTGAGGGCTGAGTCTGAAGGATGGGTTGACGGTCAGGAGGGAAAAGCAGTCTAGGCAGAGGGAACAGCGCAGGCCGAGAGACAAGAGAGAACATGACACATTAATGTACAGTCACAGCACAGACTATGTAGATGATGGTAGTCCCATAAAGAGTAGATCACCACCAGGCGCAGTGGCTCATGCCTGTAATCCCAGCACTTTGGGAGGCCGAGGAGGGTGGATCACCTGAGGTTGGGAGTTCGAGACCAGCCTGACCTACGTGGAGAAACCCCATCTCTACTAAAAATACAAAATTAGCCGGGGGTGGTGGCGGGTGCCTGTAATCCCAGCTACTTGGGAGGTTAAAGTAGAAAAAAAGAGTAGATCACCACCTTCTCACCATCGCTTTTCCATGTTGAGATATGTTTAGATACACAAACACCATTGTGTTACGATCACCTACTACGTTCAGTACAGTCCCATGCTGTGCAGATGCGTAGCCCAGGAGCAACGCACTGTACCGTACATCCCAGGAGTGTTGTAGGTTACACCATCTAGGTTTGTTGTAAGTGCAATCTATAATACTCACACAACTGCAAAACCAACTAGTGACGAGTTTCTGGGAGTGTATCCCTGTTAAGTAACATATGATGATGCTTCAAATGAGTCCTTACAGCCAGACACACACGTGCCTTCGGCTTTTCAGTTTTTCCTTCCCATCCTTCTCACACGCTGGTTCCCGGCTGGGGAGCAGGTGGGAGAAGCCACCACAAAACAGCGCTTCTTCCCACCTATCACAGCAGTCTCAAATAGTTCATCTTCACTAAAGTGTATCTGGAGGGTATGCTTTAAAATGCTATCCCGCCAGCAGTGTGGCTCGTTAATAGGCATCAACATAATGGAATTTCAGGTAAATGGGTTTGGAGTGCTGAGCCAGGGATGGGGTGGGGCTGGGGGCTTTTAAATGCCCCTGACACCATCCTCTGCAAACAATGCCCCCTGTGTCCAGGACAAGTTAATCCTGTTTCCTACAGGAAAATTAGTATGAGTAGGAAAAAAAAGAAAAAACATAAGAGAAAAATAAAAGGCAAAGCCACAAAAAAAGAAAAAAAAAATCGGGATTGAGGATGCACACAGGGTGGTTAAAAGCAAAGAAGGAATGATCCTCACTGGCGCATCACCAAGAGCTGGCAGTCTAGCCTTGAACAAATCTAGTGCTGTGACCTTGGACAAGCCTAGAGGTGTGACCTTGGAGAAGTTACATAAGCTTTCTAAGATCAGGCTCTTCCCCAGCACCATGAGGAATCCCGGGTCTCTGGGGCCCACACTCAGCTCATTACCATTATTCTGGATTTGGGAACCACCCAGGTGGATGAATTTCAACTCCCATCAGACTCTGACCGAGTTCTGTGAGGGTTCTGAGGCTAACAAGATACACACAAAAGACAACACAGGCTTGGAGTCACAAAGCCTCTTGCTTCGGTCTGACATCTCAGAATAAATGGAACTTGAGAAAGACACAGAGAATTTTTTGTTTGTTTTCTGAAGCACAGCAATGAAGTGAGAGGGGAACTGGGAAAGGCACTGCGTTTAGAACTGGTATTAGGAACGTTTTCAGGTCTTTCAGTGAGAAGGGGTCTCACTCTGTTGCCCAGGCTGGAGTGCAGTGGCGTGATCTCAGCTCACTGCAACCTCTGCTTCCCGGGTTCAAGAGATTCTCCTGTCTCAGCCTCCTGAGCAGCTGGGATACATAAGTGCCCACCACCACATCTGACTAATTTTTGCATTTTTAGGAGACATGGGGTTTCCCTATGTTGGATCAGGCTGGTCTTGAACTCCTGACCTCAGATGATCCACCCGCCTCAGCCTCCCAAAGTGCTGGGATTACAGGTGTGAGCTACTGTGCTTGGCAATTTTTTTTTTTTTAAGACAGTGTCACATAGTGTCACCCAGGCTGGAGTGCTGTGGTGTGATCACTTCTCACTGCAGCCTCAGCCTCCTAAGCACAAGTGATCCTCCTGCCTCAGCCTCCCAAGTAGCTGGGACCACAGGCATCTGTCACCATGCCCAGCTAGTTTATGGGGGATTTTGGTTTTGTTTTTTTTAGAGACAGGGTCTCACTATATTGCCCAGGCTAGTCAGGTCTTTTATTATTTTCATTCTTGTGGTTCTGACTTTATCAGCCTTTTCCTTATGTTAAACTGTGGATTAAGTTCTTACATGCATGTTATTGCCAAATATGCTCACAGACCTAGACCCAGGCCCCTGGTGGCGCCCCAGGCATTGTTTTTGACACTGCGCCTTCTCCCTGGCCTTTGTTTTAGAGCATGTCAGGCTCCTCTTGTTCTCACAGGCCTAAATGTGTGAGCACTAGGGAAGTTATTTGGAGGAGAGCAGATCCTGGGTGAGACTGATCCAGAAGTGGAAAGCTGCCTAAGGTCTTTCTCAGAGCCTTGGAGCTGCATGTTTACAACACTATTAAGAATAAAATCAAATAGTTTATCTAGAAGCTTTAAAATGTTTGTTTTTCCCAGCCCCCACATAACAGCAGCCTGAGCCTTC